TGTGGTTTTGAAGAAGGCAAAGATTGAGGACTTGAAACAGTTGATAAACCAGACTGCTACTGGGAGAGTTGTTACTACAGCCCAGTTTCCGGAGTTGTGTGAGAGAAATGCGGGGACGAAGGAATGGACAAAAACAGCGGGGAAGGAGATGATTGTTATTAGGTATAAAAATAGGAAGAGTGAGGTGGGGGAGGGTGAGGAGGCTAGTGAAGCTGGGGAGGTTGGAGACGGAGAAGTGGAAAGGATTGAGGGGTAGAGAGGGATAGAGGCATGATCTAAGACGGAATGCCTGCGGACAATCCTATCGGATTGTCCTAAGTAATTTAGACCTATCTTTATGTCATCGGACTGTCCAATGAATTTTAGAACCTATTTCATGATTCAGAAATTCCACACTCCTGCCACTAGTTGCTATTTGCTTTGGGTCCAATAGCTGCGGTTTATTCTTCTTCGCTGTTATTTATTTATCTAAGGTATAAGAGGCTTTGAGTACAATGTAGTAAATTCCTTTTCCTCATTCCTACCTATCCTACACATCTTTACCTTAACGGCGGGTTTTATTTTATTTTTATTACATCATTTATTACGCTGTCCCCAGTCCGGGGCACGTTAATTTACCTCGGCGGGGTTGTAGTGATAGTGAGGGGGTGAATTGGCCCATCGGTTACTGTACCAGAAGCACGGGTTGTATCCGCAGTGTCGATCTAAGTAGTCGTATCCATAATTCATAGAAGGGGTTGTAGAATTGGCACCTCGAAGATATTGTTGCGGTGATGTCTGGAAGAGCTCCTCGTTTCTGTTGGCGGGGTGGGTGCATGTTCGACACTTGATTCTCAATGATGAAAAACGGTTTCTGCAGGTTCAAGATTCCTACCTGCACTCCCAGACAGATTCTCCACGTCTTAATTCCTCTCGTGCACTTTCCTACTCCTTCAATCATAAATTACCAGCCCTGCTTCTCACTGTTAACGATAATTCCTTACTGACATACCCGCTTCACACGCCACATCTGACGGCCACCAAATCACACGGCCGCCAAATCACACGGCCGCCAAATCACACGGCCGCCAAATCACACGGCCGCCAAATCACACGGCCGCCAAATCCGCGTGCGGGGGCCTTTGCTCCTCCATCTAGCACTTCGAGTAGCACAGAAATACCTGCTGCTACTCAATGGCGACGTGATCGCCCTCCGAAAACTATACCATCATCTTTGGAATTTCGCTCCCTCGCAGACAACGTACAAGTGGCCTGTCCACTGGAAATACACAGGTTTTGGAGGACGCGAAGCCTGATGCTACTCCGCCCATCACTGCACCATCCGAGAGCTCCGTGGACACTGAACGACGTGCTCTATAGGCTGGATTCTATCTCAACCTCCATGATGATGTGGATTGTTCGCAGGCACCACCGATCTAAGGTTGCATTATGTACCACGCTTTGATGATTTATAGCGATAAATTATTGCTTTTCACGAAACAGTTATTTCTTCAATCACATGATCCAATTCAATCTACATAGCTTAGCTGCAGCGAAGTCCCCATGCAATCTTTTGTTACAAGCTAGCCGTCAAGTTACTAACCACAGGTGCTCCAAGTCTTAAAATCAAATTAGAAGCCTATTCCCAGACTTTATTTAGCCCACAATGCGTATAACACCACCCTATCGAACAGTTCTCATACTTCGAACTAGGATTTGCGCCTTTCTCGAGAAGCAATTGCTCAACCCCCTTGTGCCCTTTACGAACCGCCCACGCTAATGGTGTCCGACTACGGTTACACTTCCATTCGGGATCTGCGCCTTTCTCCAAGAGTATTCGCACGACTTCTTTATTTCCATAAATAGCGGCCTGATGAAGAGATGACAGACCGTTATTGCATCTTGATTCGATATCTGCATCTTCCTCTAAGAGTAACCGCACGACTTTTCCCAGTCCATTCACAGCGGTCAGATGAAGAGACGTCAGGCCATAATTCTCTCTTAATTCGATATCTGCGCCTTTCTCCAAGAGTATTCGCACGACTTCTTTATTTCCATAAAGAGCGGCCAGATGAAGCGGCGTTTGATTTGTGGAATTATCTCGACAATCTAGGTCGACAGTCCAATTTTCAAGCATATATTGAACAAGGCCCGTTAATCCAAAATACACCGGGATATGGAATATGATGGATTCTGTGGTGTATTCTTGAAAGCCACGATAATAAAGCCATGGAAGATAACCATAACAAATGCTCGACTTGGTTTTCAGCAATAGTGCCGAAGTTGGCCAACCACCCACGTTCCCGAGACTCTTGCGAACATGGTGGCCCCAATTTTCTGTGACATAACGGTGTAGTGCACGTTTCGTCGGCTTCTTGTGGCGTTCGTAATCGAACCCCATGAACGTTAGACATGTTGATGCGATTTCTTCGTGGCCCCGCGGAAATAGTTTTCCCATCTCATGTTATTTTTTAAAAAAATCCTGTAGCGACTTATGGACCAGTCGAGGTAAAGATGTGGCTTCATCGATAGCTGCAAGACCAAGGCAGCAATCGAGTAATGACTTAGGCGATGGAAATCCCTCCTCGCCTAGATATGTATCGCCGGGTTTGATCGAAAGGGCATGGCTTAGTTCGTCTAAAGTAACAGGTTTTTCGGAAAGGAAAATCCACTTCAGTATCTAATCCTTGCTTTCTTTTAGACGCCGGCTGGTTTTCGATTCGGCGAAGCGTATCCTGGAAGGCCTCATCTAGTTTCTTCGGCATCGTCTTGAGGGCTTCTCGTCGAGCACGGGTTGTAGTTTGTACTAAAACGTGACGTATCTGAAGTGCGGGCAGCAAAAACCTGGCATCAATAATTAGCTTAGAGGGCTGGCAATAAATGACTCAATCAGCTTGACTAACATTCCATCCGATGTAGTGATAATGCTATCCACTATCTCCTTGACAAACTTGGCGTCCATTTTCGTTCCGGATCCATTGTCGTCTAATTCAATCTGGTGTTCTAGATACTTGGCTATATCTTCCTCGCTTGCCTCCAGTTTCGTAGAACACAGTAACGCCCCGGCGAGATGGCTTTCGATATACTGATCCACGTGTAGCCGACCAGTGACAAATACTCGGGTAAAACTACCGCTCGACTGTCGAGTCTTGAGGAGGTCACTGACAGAGCGTAGAAAGAGTACCCTATGCTCTTGGCATTCATCTAATGCATCTATGCAGAGGTAAACCTTGTCAAATCGTCGAAGAGCGTCCGTCAAGAATCCACAGACTGATTCGAGATTTAAGAAGCTGTTTCCTTTCTTCAATGTCTGTAGCTCCTTAATGACATCTTCAACGTCAGGTATGTAAAATTTGCTTCAGGAGTGCGCCTATGAGTTTCTCTGCAGTTTGTTGAGCTTCGTCCTGATAGTCGCAGTAAAGCCAAATCACGCATGCTTTTTCGGATCGATTCTTAAGCATTTGTGATAAGTGGTCAATGACAATTGAGCTGAATTATCGCTGCGATCAGCATCCATTTCCGCTGTAGTTTGGAATAATGTCCTTACCAAAGCACAGATTTCCCGGCACCCGGTTTACCGTAACATCCAAAAACCTGACTCCCATTTCTTGAATTGGCGCTTTTCTCATTACCCATCCAGTCCTGGAAGAGCGACATTTGTATGAACCACTGTCCAGTACCGTTTAGTCTTTTCGATAGGATATCATGGTGCCTCTCATGAGGGTTTATGGGGGAAATCCAGGACAGAAGTTTATCCAATTCCCCTTCTGCGCAAGTCGATCAATACGCATGATCAAACCGAAGAAGAGGGATATTTACCTTTAAACTTGCTTTGTAGTTCCTGAACTCCGGTCGAGATCTTACTGATCTCCGCACTCGTCGTAGATATTTCGGTTACGATAGAAACAATTTCAGAAAGCTTCTCAGACTGTTGAGACAACTGCCCTGGCACAGAGATTGACATTTGCTGTAGCGTTGACATCGTGGTCCGAAGTTCATTATGGTTCTTCTCCAATTCAGTCAGGACTACAGAGTATGTCTCCCTGAGTAAAGAGATATTTAATGATAGATTTGTTAGCAACGCTAATATGCCCCATATCCCTCTCTGAGCTAGAATAACTAAACAATTCGATATGTTAAGTGAAAAATGAAAGTATTGTGCAAGGCGCTGTAGCTGAACAATGGCTTTCTCGCACTCGTCCTGGCGTAGCGGTCATTTCATACGCTCAAAAAACTCAGCCACCTTGTTGTTATTTGGGGTGCTGAATTTATCAAGCTTTCTGTACAGCTCTTTGACATGAAAAGAGGCGACGTCAACAACCGAGACGAGAACTGAAGTTTGGTCGAAAGAGGTTCCTAGAAGCCGTTCTTGATGAAGTAAGGCACGCATCTGGTCAAGAACGGAGCAAAGTGCTGTAAGCTCGTTCTGGAGGCTTTGCGCATCCTCGGGTGCAGACTTGACTGCGGAGACGTAGTTTGCTATGATCGTAGCAACTTCTTTGGAAATACCGATCAATCCAGCGATACTGGCCGAAACACTCAAGGGATCCGACATGGTTGATGGTAGCGAGCTGAAAACGGGGGCCGATTGCAGGAGTGGATTTCTTTACTGATAAAGAGTCAAGACCAAGCGGTTTTGGGGCGGGGTTGAGACAGAGCATTAGCTGATTTCCCCGCTTCTTCGGACAATGCCCATGAGGTATATGTTATCGTTGGCGATGCAGGTCGGGTGTAGATCCATTATGTGGCGCTTAGAGCTACTACATATGAGGATCTGCTTCTAGAAAAGAAATCTAGAGTGTACTCTACATACATAGCTTGAGTAGGCGCATAATTGTGAATAGAGTACCCAAGCTCTTCTCTACAGCCGTCCTTGTACGAGTCAATTTGTAGGTGGAGCCGATATAGGTCTATGCTTCTTTTCTCTTCAAGAGCCCGATCACCTCACCTCCTCAAACGCAACCCCAACGAGCATTCCACGCAAAGCTCTTTCTTCACGGATGAAAAATTTAAAAAAAAAACTCCTCCGGGTGGGCTTGAACCACCAACCTCCTGATCGCAGATAAATCTAACAGTCAGACGCGCTAGCCAATTGCGCCACGGGGGACTTCACTTTATTGCTTACATTACCTAATATAACGGCACAAAACAAACATAGTCGAAACAGTTCGAGGTGATGGAGTTCGAAGGTGATGTTCGGAGGGCGCTTCGAGAAAATGAACCTGTCACGGCTTGTTAGCGTATCTCTAGAGAATAGCAAAGGTTGCTTATCAGTCCGATACGGTAGTGTAAATTCAAGAAGCTGTAGGAATAGTGCATGATCAAGATCGCGAGGAAGATAGAAAGATGGAGGTGGCGGTTGATGTCGGGATTGGCCATCGGAAGACATAACGAAGCTTGATGCAGAGGCAAGAAAAGTGGAAGATGGAAGAATAGGAGTTTAAAGGACTGGAGCTTAGTTCTGGAGAAGCGAGTACATTGAATACGACTTGGTATCACGCGGCTCAATTTTACATCATCTAGTTGCACAAATAGTCTTTACCGCTGGAAACACACATGGTTAATATTAGGGAAGTTTGACGAAATGACCCCCAACCCACAAGATCACAAGTTCAGCAGCATCTCCCCATCACAATGCTCGCACAGCTGTTTAATAAATGAATACCGCATTTTGTATTTCATGGTATTTAGGAAACAAAGTTACATCGTAAAATCCCTCCGACACCTTAGTCGCAACTCGCACACCCACTACATCCACAATGTGTACATTGTATCCCCGAACTCTCGTCATTCAGCCGTGCTCGTGGTACTCGGCAGATACAGGTTGTGTTAAAGTTATGTTCCTTAGCTTGTATGCAGCGCATACAGCAGAGTTTCTCGTAGCCTTGCTTCTTCCTGTAGAACAACCGTGTTAGCAAGTGATGCTTATGAGATGAATGTAGTTTTCGGGGTGTAGGGGCGTACCATTTCGCAATCAGGTTCGCATCCGCATATTTGTTTTTCAATAACCAATCGTAGAGCTGTTTCGAGATGGCATTGGTTTCGTAGTAGAGGTCGTAGATATATTTCGACCCTGTTACACCCTTTCGTTAGCCATGTCTCCCAGTGCTTCGTCCTCCTCCCCCTTCTCTTTTGCCTCTAGCTCTTTACCGCTACAGCCACAAGGCAGTAGGATACAACTCCGGAGATACCGTAGCCCTCAGATTACAGTCCTAAAGTTGCATCGACCCGCCTGGAACTTCCACCTTGCAGGCCTCAACCCATTACGAACAGACAAAACCTACGTTGATGGCTAATCCTAAAGATATCCCAAGTAGCTTCATTCTTCTTCTTCCCCTCATGCGGCGCAGTCTCCGCATCTTTCATTCTGTTCGCGAACTCTAGCAGGGTTTTTTCAATATCATCGAAACCGTCTGGGGGTGCTTTGCGGGAGTAACCGCGGGCGTGGCGCTCGGGAGGCATTACGACGGTGGGTAGGAAGAGCGAGTGGTAGGTTTACTGGGTGCTAGGTTGTATGACACGATACGGCGACGGTGGGGTCGGAGGCTCGGGGGTGATAGAGATCGTGAGGTCGTGACGCGGTTGTTGTAAGCTTGAGCGTTGGCGTTGCGAACCAGACGCGAAAGGTAGCGTGCACTGGTGGCGTGGGAATTACAGCTTAAACCCTAACCATATGTAGCCTAGAGCTACTACTCGGCGCCACAATTAGACTACATTGGGATAATGACGCCACATGAAAAAGAGAGCTGCACACCAAAATATTATCAAGTGGATCCTCATGCGCTAGATAATGACACTTGAAATAAATACCCTTGAAGGCTTACCCAACCTCAGCGCAGTGATAATCATTGAAATTATGTGCGTAAAAACAGTTCTCATATTATTCATAAATCCAGGTCTCGAATTCTCAATTTCTCCAAAAAACGAGTCTCACCAGCTAAACCATAACAAACCCATCCCCTCCAAGCGCTCCATACCCTTCCCCATAAACCCCTTCATCCTCCCTCTCCCTTCCTAGCTCATAACTCAACACTGTCCCATTCATATAAACCATCATAAGTCTCCACCTCCTTCGCCCCTCAATTCCTCTCCAACCACCGCCTCTCTGTCTATCCCTCCGTCTCCTAGCTCCGGAAGAAACATCACTTCCTGCTCTACTCTTCCCCAACTCCTTCCCTTGGATTGGGCTTGCCGCAATTCCCAATAAAGGACATTGGATAGCATGTGGAATATCATAACCTTCTTCCTGCTCCGGTGGTGCCCACCGGCTTACGTTACGCGCATAATTCGGCGCCACTCTAGGGAGCATATAGTCGAGGCGCATAACACAATCCTCACCTGCTCTCGTTAAGCGAAAAATTCCCGCCCGACCTCCTTGGGTTGCGGATACGATTATCGAAAGCTCGGGGATATGGATAACCATGTTCAAGCGGTCGAACACTTCGAGTTGGCGGTTATTCGGGGGAAGTATCTTTACGAACTCGCGGCAGAAAACTGTGGGAGATAAATGATGAGTAGGAAGAAGGTAGGCGTTATGTTCGGTTGTTGTGAAGACGTAGGATAGGGGGGGTTGTGCTGGGTCTAGTTCATCGTTGGATGGAGGCGGGTAGGGGATGGTGGCGGAATAGGCGACGGCCGCGTAGGTTGGACGGGAGGAGGGTATAGAGGAGGCGGTGGAGTATGATGATGGTGATTCGTGGGGTGAGACGTTGACGCCGTGATTGTCGGTGTCGGTCATGTCATCTGATTCGTCGTAAGATTCACTGAAACTGTCATCATTGGAGTCAGTATCAGTGTCGCTGTAGCCTTGGTAATGGTCCGGGCCTTCCCCAGGAGGTAGGGTGGGAATTTGGGGAACCGGGTCTATGACCGGGTCCGGCGATTGAGGCGGAGAGGGCTCTTCTGTATCGGATGTAGCTCCTTCGCTCGCTTCGTCTAACTCGTAAGGGGATTCTTCTTCATCGTCTTCAACGATGAACTCGGGTTCACGGCCAAAACTTCTGTAGAAATGATTGTACTCGGGCTCAGGACTGATGTCCCAGGCTCTGGGTATGTCCTTAATTCGAACTTGGTCGAATTCACCCTTGTAATATCCTCGTGCAACACACTTTACACCTTCGAGCGGTGTGCGTGGTGGAATGTCCCCCAAATGTGGAGACTGGCGCCGTCCGCTCCTTGGTAGGAATGCCGGGGGTTGTATTCCTCTTCGTGATTTTATTCCAAGTGCTGTGTGTAGGTCATCCATTGGCTTGAAAGACTGCGGAGTCAGCATAATGACAGACCAGCCCCTAGACATAGATTCTGTCAACATATGCTCTCCATATTGTGGATACCAGGCTATTGCATTTTGATCGTACCTCGGTTGCCTAGGTCCAAGCTGGCAGCTTTCGACCATTCTCCTTGTATGAACATCCCACAACGTCACAACCCCATCAATATCTGTTGAAGCCAACCACCTTCCAGAAGCATCATCCAAAAACGAAATATTCGGAATATTGTTCTCGTGTCCCCTCAAGATCTTGATAGACCTATCTGCTACCAATGGCTTGTCCTTCCTCCTCTTCCTCCCATTTCCCCCAGAGCTCGAAGTTCCCGGTCTCCCCGGATCTTCATCACTCTCTCCCCTTGAATGCCGTTTCTTCTTCCGTCTCTGATCAGCGGGTAGCTCCTCTGTCCTTGCTCGGAACCCACTCTCCCTCAAGTCTTCATCATCACTCTGCTTCTTTCTTTCCCTGACCGTCTGTTCGACTCCTAACTCAAAAACCGTAATGTCATGTGTATTGGCCGAAACCGCAAGTAGCCGTCGTTCCTTATGTAGTGCAACTCCCCAAGCACTCTCACCAACATTTCTCCTCAACGCAATTCGGCTTAAATTTCTGGTGTACCAAATACACACGTCACCATCATCATGGGCACTAACCAGGACCTCCTCCGAACCAAGTTCACCGACTGTGAGAGAATTGATTCCGTGCGGATCCTGGCTGTTGATATAGCCGGGTCGTCCATCAAGGTGTTCGGAAACTAATACAGCGTGCGGAGTTTCGGGGAGTGTTTGGTAGGGAAAGATAGGGACGTAGACATAGATTTTTGTACGGACAGCAACGAAAAGGTAGTTGTGGTATTTCGAGGCTGCGACCTGTGGATGTCAGACACTTAGCGACGCCAAAGTCTTAAGCGATACGCGTGAGACGCAGCAAGAAAGACGCCACCACTTACCAGGTTGTTCCGCCAAGGGTAAGGGTGAACACCTTGGGGAAACTCTCTGCGGGGGTTTGGTTAACAATGTGGGGGTGATGTCTGAGGGCTGAGGGGAATTACATCTGTGGTTACCAAGGTACGTCAGTGACGTAGTGCGAGCAGCTGAGTAGGGGGAAGTACCTTTTGCGAGCCCAAAAATTCGGTGGAGATCGGATGGTAGGCGGTGCTCTGAGCCATTGCGAGAGGAAGAGAGGTTATATGGCGATGAGGTGAGGTGGAGAGGATGGCTAATAAATGATCGGCTGGACTTATGCAAGGATCTGTAGCTTAGATCCGACCTTGTGGATGTGGGGAAGGTCGGAGGTAGAGTAGGTGTTGAGTTGGTGGAGCAAGCTGCGCTCGGAGGACTGCGAGATGTGGTTTTCAATCTTGCTTCGGAAAGCTCTGTCGCGGGAAACTGGAGGGCGACTGATCTGCCGCGGAAGGGTGGTTAATTTAAATAATTATACTTCATGATTCTTCGTCGCACTTTCACCGAAAAGAGGCTAGTTTAGACGAATGTACGTCGTGTAGCTTTCTTTTTAACCTGCTCAATTAATTCTCCACTTGGCTGTTGGTGGGGGTAATCTTCGTACCTTGGGCCTTCAAATATCCACAGGACGTCGTAGTGACCGGCTTTCTTCTGTGCCAAAGGAAGCGATGGGAACCGGATCATCATTCTTCGCTTGATAGTTTCCTTTTAGTGAATTGCTTGTTTGCAATTAAACTCCCACGCTATGGCATTTCGAGCAGTTGCATGATATCATGCGTGTCTGAGTTCTGACGGCGGTGTGTCGCTCCATTGAAGGCTTTACAAGAGACATCCGGCGGCTTCTCCGGTGTCGGCAATTCTCATTGATTCAGAAAACCCCCGCGAGCTATCACTGAAGCGACATCGGGACGTATTCCAATAGGGCTATCTCCGCGATCCTGTGCCCCGCGGAAAGCTAGTAAAACCCCACAGTAGATACATACCCAGATCTTCACATGGATTCCTCGCCCGGATTAAGATCATCACCGAAAATAAAAATTTATGTGCATTTAGGGTTCCAATAAGGCTTGAAGCCCACGTGTGCCCGTGCATGCAGATGTTGTTTGAGATGCAGACCCCAAGAGTTATCGTCGGCTTGTACCGGGGAGCTAAAGAATACAGTACTCACTTATTTTTTTGTCATTTGCTTTAAGTTAAAAAGTAGCTGTTTTCACACAACAGTCTGGTTGGCTCAGTTGGTAGAGCGTCGGTCTCATATCTACAATATGACTTCCACTCAGTGGTAGTAATCCGAAGATCGCGAGTTCGATCCTCGCACCGGACATTTTTTTTTAACTTTTTGCTGGTCTTCAGATACCGACACTCTCCTCGGGGTCTCTTCGGCGATTACGTTACTGAAGAATATCGATGATCCCTTTCTACCGGAGTTACGACGCTTCTGCGACTCATATTCTCACCTGATAGGTGCGAACCATGGGAAATCATGTGCTTATATTTGCTTTTCGTCTATCAGACGATCGATAAACTTTTGCGGCCTTCATCGTACGATAACATTGCAGAGTTCGAACATCATAGCTGAAAAGTGATATGGGATTGATTAGGAACCACTCGAGCGACAGGACCCATCGCAGACTCGTATTGCGATACCGATTTCTGGAGCATGTTCCGGATCTCAAACCAGGCGTAGCGAGTCTGCAGAGGTTATGGTAAGATAGTCCGCATTACGCGGCATTCTTTGGTGCCAGTACTGCATGGACTCTTCATCAGAATGGTGCGTCAAAAAAAGGCCTCAGAAATAACAAGGCGTTATGCTCCAAGCACCATTTGCAGCTCCGAGTACCATGATCATGGGAGTTCCAATGACATGGAAACACATGGCGAACCAAAGCCGTATAATTCATTAAATACTGCCACTAGTATTTCAGAGAGCTGATTGAATAATAATAGCTCTCTCGTTATCAATATCCCCCACAAAAAAGAACCAAAGAACCAAAAAAGAATCAACTCCATTGCCACAGACTACAGTACGCTGAAACACACACAACAAATGCTACCAACTATTCCATCATAACTTATCAAAGCTTTCCACAAGTTCTTTCTACCTTCATACTACTTCACGCCACTCCGTGCCACTCAGACATAGAATACACCTCCTTCTCCCCTTCTTCGAGAACTTCTTCGAAAAAAACAAAACAAAAAACAACCCATAGACATAACCCATCGCATGCAATGTTCAAAACGCACTGTCAATCGGAATCTCAAAGCAAAAACACTCCGCCCATCCCCGAATCCACTGGTTCGTTCATTTACTCCCTAATTCACTTATTCACTCTGTCGCGGTCTCGTTGGTATTTAGGTGAAGTAGGTATTAGAGGTGAAGCTCCTAAAACTCCTCGGTCTCTTGGAAAAACATCGTGAAGGAAATAATGGTGCCGTAGATCAGTAATCCTCCGATGATGGACATGATCATTGCTGGGATTTGGATGATTCCGCAGTGAGCGAGCATTGCTGGGAGAGCTATTGAGGGGGATAAAGTTAGCTTATGTCCAACTCCTTGTTACTAGGGGAGGCCGGCCGCCGGAGATGTTCCCGCCCGCTTTTCGCGTAGCTGCATTGAAATCTCACGTGCCCTAGATACAAGCAAGCTACGCCCTCCTTCCCCTCCTTCCCCTCCTTGCCCGATTTCCGAGGGTTTAGCTATACATACCGATTCCCATAACGACAAAGAAACCAGTCAAGAACTTTCCAAGATCAACAATTCCGCTTCCGTTCGTGTCATCCATGAAGTCATTGGGAGTTGCGCATTGAGAGCAGATCGCGTTCGGTAAGGGTGCGAGGACATAGGTTGCGACAACTAGGAGGGGGAAGTAGTTGGGGCCGAAGAGAGCGGAGGAGAGGATGACAAGGAGGAACCCGATTGCGAGGACCTATGAAACGTCAGTAGAATACTTGGAAGGTTGCTTCGCGGATTACTATGCTAACTATCGCCGGTTGTTGCTGGCTAGCAAGCTACTGCGGGGGGCTGGGAGGGAACATACGAAGGAGAGGGCGATTATTGTTTTTAAGCCGGCCATGGTGTAAGCTTGTGGATATTGTCAAGGTATCGAGGGATGTAGGAGCTCGCGAGGAGGTTGTAGGAAGGTTGGAGCTGGAGGTTTAGAGATGAGTTAGGCGGCTGCGACGATGGTGGTGGTGACGAGGCTTGGGCGCCGGCCGCAAGCTGTGCCAACCCATGTCATAGGCGAGCTGATATCACCGAATCAAGGTTTCGCCCCAGCGTCAGTGCAAGCTACACGCGATAAACGCAGACAATAAATATACACAGGAATAGCTAGTTTTCGTCAGAATTTAAATGGGAAATCTTGAGAAAAAGCCACTGAGTTCGAGATCTTGTACTCTCTAGTGCTGGATTGTGCATGCTGCCACTGCACTTCCCATCCCTAACAGCCTTCCTGAGCCCCACGCCAGGCGCTGCTGAGCCGCATCTTTAAGCTCCATCCCCACCACCACGAACACCAACACCTTCATCACCTCTACTCCATCCAAACATCTCCCGAATCATCCGCCACCATGTTCCGGAACAACTACGATAACGACTCCGTCACATTGTACGTTTTTTAGGCTCTATTTGCTTTCCAAGATCAAGAAAACTGATGCGAACGGGTGTCTAAAGCTCTCCCCAAGGCCGTATCTTCCAGGTCGAATATGCTCTAGAAGCCATCAAGCAAGGATCCGCCGCCGTGGGACTTGTTAGCAACACACATGCTGTCCTGATAGCTCTTAAGGTATTCCCTGGAGCTCTGCGCAATCTCTACGACCACTAACAACCCCCCAGAGAAACGCAGAGGAGCTCGGTTCATACCAGAAGAAGATCATTGGTATCGACACACATCTCGGAGTCGCCCTTGCCGGTCTCGCTCCCGATGCCCGCGTCCTCTCAAACTTCATGCGCCAGCAATCCATGTCCTCCCGCTTCCTCTACAACCGCCCCGTCCCCGTTGCTCGCGTTGTCAACGCCATCGCCGACAAGGCCCAGGTCAACACTCAGCACTACGGACGTCGACCATACGGAGTTGGATTGCTTGTAGCAGGCGTTGACGAGACTGGACCCCACTTGTGGGAGTTCCAGCCCTCCGGAATGGTGTTGGAATACAGGGGAGCAGCCATCGGTGCTAGATCTCAGAGTGCCAAGACCTATTTGGAGAGGAACTACGAGAGCTTCGGAGATGCGACAAGAGAGGAGTTGGTCCTACATGGTTTGACGGCATTGAGAGATACATTGGCACAAGACAAGGAGCTTACTACTGCTAATGTCTCTCTTGCTATCGTCGGAAAGGATGAGAAGTTCAAGCTCTACGATGGTGATGAGGTCGCGGAGTGGTTGGAGAAGCTCGGAAACACACAGAGCAGCCGTGGATCAAGAGGCGCTGCGGCCGCACCACCAGCTCCGGAAGCCGCCGCACCGGCAGGTGACTCAATGGATGTTGATGCGTAGATGGGAAGATGAGAGTAGATATCCTCGGGCAAAAAAATAAGATTGCTAGAGAATATGGATGATATCCTGGTGGGCTCGGTAGCGGAAACTACGCTGTCATGATAATGATTATGTTGAAAAGTAGCCAAATGCTGCTTAACAAAAAACGATCTCGTGCCGAAGTTCTATCAATGTTCTATTTTTAATACACTGAATGGTCTACTATCCAGAATTGGATAAGCTGATGACCCAAGGGTCCAACCCTGTGTTCTTCAACTACATACTATGGCTTCCTGCTAACTCAAATGATGTCTCCAGCGATGAAAATTGACCACTATTCATTCGTCCATAATGTCAGGTAACTGTGCCCCATCGGTTTGAGTTTCAACCTTCAACAGCATTAAACCCTTAAATCCATCGTGCACACTAAGGCCTTGGTGAATCAATACTGCCTGGTCCTTAGAGTAGGCCACTGACAATTCTTGAATACGAAACTCAGAACCATGTAGCTCATTACGAACATGATCCCATTATGCGACGCCCCTAACGACCGCACGAAGAAAAAATTACCGCCGCAACCCACTAGAACTCAACCGCTGACTTCAAGCAAAAAACCTCCAGCCAAAAGCTTGTTAAAAAATAAAAACAAAAAAAAAGAACTCCTCCGGGTGGGCTTGAACCACCAACCTCCTGATCGCTAGACATAACAGTCAGACGCGCTAGCCAATTGCGCCACGGGGGACGATATGGTCACTAAGAGTGTTTGCTTTTATGATGACAAACAGCCGGGTTAAGCGGATTGGATGAAGTGGGAGGTGATGATGGCTGTGAGGTCAAGTTGAACTGAAGAAACAAAAGGCGGGAAGGAGCCAAAGGAGCAATCAAGTGGTAAAGAAAAGAATAAAGGAAACTAAGAAAATCAGGGAGGGAAACTAAATGTACATCAAGAAAGGACGCGCCATGAATGAAGAGCAGGCGAGAAGGAACAAAATGAAGAATGAAATGCTACAGAAAGAAAGACTATACCGTGCTTCGCTGTTTGGTGTTTGCTGTTTGCTATCCCTTCTCCGTCTTCCCTTTGTTCATTCACCCAGCCACCTATTCGTTCAATCGCCGTACCACCTCTACCTTCTCGCCGTTGATTCCCTTCTTTCGTTCTCCTCTATTGGTGCACTCCTCTTTCACTCCATCCTTCGATTACTCTCCTCCCTTCTTTTCAAGCAAACACGCGAATTCAACCTGTACACTCAACGTCATTACCATCATGTCGACCTTATCCAGCGAATCCAACCGCGAGATTGTCTCATACTCTCTGTCCAACATCGCGGCTGATGTCGAATTGTATGTCTCTAAAAAGATATATCATGTCCATAGCTTTATCCTGCGCCAATTTTCCTCATTCTTCGAAGCGAGCCTTTCTTCAAAGTGGTGAAAGGATGAAAACACCACCAGCGATGGGAGCTCAATCAAGTACCGGTATCATTTGGTTCCTGATGAAAGCGGGGATTATATCTTTGAGCCGTTTGCTCCTGGAAGTGTAAGTCCTCTAGAAGGAAGGGATTGCGATGTCATGCGTTAAATGAGAATCTAAAATTGAACAGAAGTCTATTGTCAACTCCTCACCATCTATTTAGCTAGTACAAACGTACGACAATCTTCTTCGAGTTTTCTACATACGCCAATTTAAATGGGATAATCCGAATTCTTGCACTTGTACTATGCTCCATTTATGGCAATCTCTTATTGATTTGACGGATCTGTATGGTTGTTTGGCCACGAGTGCATCACGTATCGAAGGAGAAATCATAAGCATGAATAAGCTACACACCGATATATCGGCAGACCCAAATGGATATCTCTGGATTGCCAAGAAGATCCGTTCGAAGCGCCTGTATCATGACGCATTTGTTCATATCGTGGGGCAGTGGGACACGATTCGGGAAGAAGATAACGTAACACTCTCGGATGAGGAATTACTAAGAGTTTATTCGGAATACACCCGTATCAACCAAATTGGACGGAAACTCGATTTGAAATTCCTTGAAATGATGAGTTCACCAGATCCTTCGAACGCTACTCTTAAAAACAGAGAAATATTTACAAGTTTCAGTCACTACCGCACTGATCGTTCTCGCGCATTTTATAAATCCTTAAGTCAGGCGACTCCAGATCGGACGCAGGAAGAGATGTGGATTGGAGCCAGATGCCCGTATTCTAGCTAGGAGAAACTTGGCTTGTCCAGTGCTGCTTGGAGAAACCATCAAACATCTGACATGTGCCAAGCTTATGGACGATGAACATCCTTGGGATGATTCCGACAAGTGGTAGATGCCTCTGTGATTGACTTATGCATTAATCTCCTCCTATGAGTGTCTTATTTGGCGGACATTGATATTACTAGGTTCATGGTATATCTATGCTTCATTGCTAGCTCATTATGTTATCTAAATATTTATACAAATTTTAATATCTAACGGCAGTGGTCTGGGAGTGAACAATATGTAATTGTGGACGGAGATAAATATGTTCGTCTTTCACACCGGTGTCGATGTTCATTGTTCAGTTGATACCCCATTCACTCGTTTTTATATAATACTAGGCCATCGCATTACTTATGCATACATAACCATTACAGGAAGTAAGGGTTATTGCAACCTCTGTAGTAGCCACCCTGAAATGGAATTCTGAGCGCTGTCTCAGCTGCATAAGCGGCCTTGCTACAGGCCCAACGGGTACCTCCACCTTAAGCTCCCTCCACGTTTTCCTGTGAATTCAGCCAATCTTTGAATCGAATATATTGTTATCTTCCCGCGTGTTACTTCATGGACTAGTGATGCCAAGAAGATAAGCAACTTGTAGTAACCTAGCTAGTATTGGAAGCGAGTGAACGGGGTGTCTCTATCTATCTCTCTCTCTCAACGTCAACACCGGAACACCTCGAGTAAAGACGGACGCCAATCAATCCAACGCCACCGGTCCACCATGTCAAGAAAACTTGGGCCCATCACATACTCTCTATCGAGTATCAGTCCCGACGTTGAGATCTTCGTCTTCGAAGAGGTCTATTATGTTCATAGCTATCTCCTGCGTCAATTTTCCGATTTCTTTCAAGCCAGTCTTTCTTCCAGGTGGTGGAAGGAGGATAACGCTGTGTCTAACGGAACGTCAATAAAATATCGCTACCACCTTGTACTGGATAAAAGTGGAGACGGCTATTTGGAGCCACTTGGGCATGGGATCCGCGTAGGTTCCCCACGATAAGCATTTCTCATTACCTACAAAGTAAAAACTAAAAATTTGATAGGCGGCCGTTATTACAGACACAGACAGGGAAGTCGATAGTAAAGCTTACGACAATCTTTTCCGACTGTTTTACCATCGCTGCCTACCCGAATATATATCAAGCAATTACGATGCTCTTTTAAACTGGACCGCTCTGGCCGATTTAGCGCATCGTTATTGCTGTATAACTTCCTTCGCCTCTCCTATCGAGGAAGCAATATTGCGCACCAAGGATAATCTTCATATATCAAATTTCCCATAGGATATATCGAACTTGCACTGAAGATCCGTTCAAAACGCCTTTTTCATGATGCATTTGTGCATTCTGTCGGTTAGTGGGACAAGCTACAAGGGGAGGATATGGACGTTCCAGATGCGATACTGGCAAGTATTATTTCGGAATATAACCGTATAAATAGCATCAAGTCTGCGTTGATGGACAAAATCCTTGCAGAGATACAAATGCTGAATCCTTCGCTTCTGAGAAGTGCTCTAGAAAATTGGATTGGAAAGTATTGCAATGCACGGAAATGGCATGGCATTGCATACGAAGAGTTATTGGAAATTCAATATTTGCCTGTCAGGATCATGCGCCTACTGAGGAAGTTGTTAAAACGGAATTTAATTTTCCCAGCCACGAGAACAGGAATGGACAGGCACCACCTAATCTGTGCCAACCCCAAAGACAACAAATACCCTTGGCCTGAAGATAAAAGCTGTATTAGGCGAATATGGGCTGGATACATGCACCTTGTTTATATGAGTCATAGTGCTTTGTATCCCAAGAGTTTTCTAGAAGGATTGGGTTTTCATTTTGTAAAGAATAGCCGAGAAGGAATTTATTGCACGGAGAGTAATTCTATGCTGCTGTACCCAGAATGTTTACAGACAGTCTTGCTTATTTTAGTCGGACTGTCTCTTGAAACCTTAGTCGGATTGTCTGGCGCTCACCGGCGCTGGCGCTTCCGCACTTATCAGTTGATGACTGAAGACAGTCCTGATAATCCCTGCGCTCAGTTATGTTGGAGAGCAAACACATACCTCTATCTTCCATCCAACTGCTTCCATCTTTTGCGATTCTCTCCAGTAACTCTCACCAGACAACATCTGAACACCACGGTGCAGAAATAACCCATCCATCCGCTGAGACGACATCAAAGTCACACAAATGCAGACGGCTCTGATGCCAACAACAGCGTCAAGACTTCCCATCGCGACAAGCCCACAGCTTCTCCAGCGTTTCACATCGACAGCTTTCATATGCACCGCCTGCAAGTCAACCAACTACCTGTAAGCCAACCACGTTCAAATCAACCGGAATACGGAGACCATGATCTTGACAGTTGGAATTTGACTAATATTGAGAAACAGAAGCGGCTGAACATAAAGGGAAGATCCAACACTGCAACAGAACCGAGAGAGCTTCGTAAGCAGGGTTCTACAGATGTTCCCCATCCAGCACTGCTCCTACAATGCAACCCTGCACTTTCGTCATCAACCAATAAGCGCGGAAGCACCAGACAGTCCCACTAAGGTTTTAAGTGACAGTCCGACTGGAATATACAGGACTGTCTGTAGACATTCCGCTTTATATCCCGAGGTTTTCCTAGAAGGATTGGGTTGTAATGTTGTAAAGAGTAGCCGAAAAAGAACTTATTGCAAGGAGAGTAATTCTATGCTGCTGTACCGGTGCGGTACTAAGGGCTAGAAAACAGGTTGATAGAAGGAGGTGACGGATGTGCTTGAATGTACTGTACTTACGGATTTTGGGAAATCAATTATCTAGAAAGTTTGTGCCTGGGTTAATAAATTTGTTCATTATTGCTGCTATCCATCGATACGTACTGTCTTCACCAACCTCACGTACAGGTGTAATAAGGATTCGTAAGTACAGGTCAAGTTGGTCCGTTACATCCCTCTATCAACCTATTTTCTAGCCCTTCATACTGCACTGGTACAGTAGCATAAAATTCCTATTGATGCGATAAATTCCATGGGTCGCTCTATGACGTGTAAACACGCGCATATCCAGCACATATTAGCTAGTAACGCAGCATGGTTGTCTCGAGAGTTCTACTAAGCCCATTACCCACCCCCGATACCCGGCCCACCCCCCCATAACTTCACTAGGTTTGATTCCTATCTATGTAGAAGAACTCAAGAATTGAGAACAGATGCATCATGCGACCCCAGCGAGGCAGGGGGATTCTTCCAAGGAAGAGATGAAATACTGGAGCCATTTTCGGCGTGTGAATGACTGGGTTCTAATTTCCTGAAGTTGCCAGCTAGCGTTCTGGGCGCCAGACAGCGGAGAGGATCACAACGGAGCGAGTGACGACGAGTGCAAACCCCGTTAATTCGAGAGCAAACAAAACCAACAAAGCAAACCAACGTGAGGCTCCACAACAAATGAATCCTTCCTTCCATATTATTCTCTTTCGTGGATTCCTTTCCGTGCTT